TAAGAAGAGCAAAAATAAGTCCCGGTGTGCTACTCGCACACGCTAGAATGCTGAGTAAAACTACGGCCAAATATCCTCTTACGAGAGTCGAGGTTAAAACATTCACGATATACGCGGGCGTCGTGGGGGAATCGATAGACAACGCAATACTCGGACAGCTACCGAAACGAGTAATAGTGGGCTTTGTCGATAACAAGGTGTTTAACAGCGATAGAAAATTGAACCCGTTTAATTTCAAAAATTACGGAATAAATTTCTTTTCGCTGTATGTCAATGGCATGCAAATTCCCAGTAGACCGTTATAATCAAATTTTTCGAAAGACGCACCGCTCTACGTTGAAGCTTATCACACATTATTCTCGGGAACAGGCATTCGCTTTCTGAACGAGGGTAATTCTATAACTAGAGACGCTTACGCCGACGGTTACATTCTTTTCGCTTTTTGATCTTACTCCGGATCTATCCGCTAATTGCGCAGGGCATTGGAATCTCATGAAACACGGTAGCTTACGATTAGAAGTGAGATTCGAAAAAGCTCTTTCCGTGATTATTAATTGTGTCGTCTATGCCGAGTTTAAGAACGTTTTAGAAATCGATTCCTCGCGTCAAGTCATTGTCGACTTTTTTGGTTAACCCTATGTCTTTCGCGTGAAAATTATTTTCCCCCACTACTATCTTTTTCTCATCTAATTGCACGCAAGCTGACGAAAACAGCTTCAGTCTTACTCGTGACACCGACGCCGACGATTCGTAAAAAAAGAAAGAGTACCGTAAATTCGAATATCATAATGGATATATGATAGTCATCGAAATACAAGGTTTCCGCGATATCGAAGAAAACTTTATTCCTAAAGAAGTCGCGGTTCTTGCGATTAATGCAACGATCACCGGACACTGGATTATGTTGCCACCTTATCCATTTCATGATTTACCCGAGAGAGTAAGACGAGAAAACAACTGGCTTATACGAAATTATCATGGAATCGAATGGTTCGACGCAGACGCCAATCCTGAATACTTTACTATACATCTGTGAGAAATTACACGACATGCACACTACATTTATAGCAGAGGACAAGAGAAGACATGTTATCTGAGAAATCTACTCTCCAGAAACATATATAATCTGGAAAAAATTTCTCCGGCTTTCAAAAATCTACCAGATTTCGAAGGTCGTGGACAACGTTGTACGCATCACGGATTTTGAACCAACGCCGAATCACATTGTGCTTTACGCAATGCTTACAAATTAAAACACTGGCTAACTATACGAAATAGCAGCAATTCGAGCTACGAGAGTCTTCCTTCAGAAAATTCGAGCGAGAGCGACGTCGAGAGCGAAACAGCAGACAGCCGAAATTTTTCGATTCAATTTAAATATCAGAAACACGATATATTTCGCGACATCGAAGCGTGGAAAAATATCGCGACAGAAAAGACGAAGCAAAGTGAGAACGAACAAGCGACAGGCGAGGAGAAAAAAGATCTTCCAGAATTCGCCACGCCGACGGATAGAGATAAAGGTATCACTAGCTTTTCACGAAGGCTAAATTTTGAGAACTCTAGAACGCCCGCATCGCCAGAAGAGGTAAATTCTGAATTTGCACAAACATTTCCTTTTTCACGGTCTCCGACGACGAGAAATGAATTCGTTGGAAGTTTTAAATGCATTGCATCATCTCAGTGTTCGAAATGCGGGGGTCTATCCTGCCGACCGACTGCCGAGAGTGTGGACGAGGTCGACTGTCATTGTCGCTAACACGGACGATCACGATCGACCTGGTCAGCACTAGGTCGCCTTCTACATCGATGAATACGGTACAGGAACGTATTTCGATAGCTACGGATTGCCGCCCTTGGACTCAAGGTTCCTCTTACGTCTTCATCGAAACTCCACCTTGTATCGTTGGAATACGACGACGCTGCAAGGAATGCTTTCTCAAACCTGCGGACAATACTGCTGTGTATTTCTATACTTTATGTGTAATGGTTATAATCTTAGCCAGTTTCTTAGTCTGTTTACCTCTGATTATAA